GACAGGATGGATATTCGAAAGTTTTTTAGAAAGGTAAATTAAGTATTCAATTCATCCATGCTGGTAAAACTAGTGACTATAGTCCGCTAAAATATCTCCAGCAACAGCAGAAACTGCACTGTAACAAGTGTTCGCTTTTGGATCAATTCAGGTGGTGCTTAATAAAAATTAAGCACCATATTATTATTAAATACATAAATAATCATTACACCAACTCTTTGAGGCAACACCTATTGAGATTTTGGCCTATATAAAATAAATAAATGTATTTATTTGAAAGGAATCAGGCCAAAGAAGCACAGAGAGTGAGCCAGGGGTGAGCTCTGCTAAAAGGGCTGTGTTCCCCTTGGGGCTAAGCCCCCCTTGTTCTTCAAACCTAGTGACGCCCCTGGCCCAGACAACAAGACAACTCATAGTGTCAGTGGGAACTGCAATCAGAATCAGAATCAATGGAGACTGGTGGGGACAAATTGGGGGGCAGGATGGGCAAACGTGACAAGAATTGCCCTGAATGCCCAGTGAGATCTTTAAATTGCCAAAACATTTGGCACGGCAGTCACCATGCAGAAGAACCCCTCCACCATGATAAAGTGACGGTTCAGGGAGGAGCGTACAGCAGCTGTGGAGTGACCATGAGACATTGCTCGGGGATTTTTCTTTTTTTTTTAAAGGACCACCCCACAATTTAGAGTGGGTGGACCCTTTGTCCATCATTAATATAGACAGTAGACCAAACCAATCAGTAAGTAGGATGAAAGCGGCTCCACAACTTCCATCCGCTGTCTGGTATCACTCTCGTGCAGAAGTCCGAAGTGAGAATCATGTTGCGACGTGACAAAACAAAAATGAAAAAAGGGAGATGCGCGGAACTTGTGTGACATAGAAGAGTGTTGCCCGAAGTGTTCCAAATTGTGTAAAAATCATACATTTGCTCCAAACGACTATAGCCTCCATGCCACTGATAGCATTCATTCATTCATTCATCTTCCGAACCACTTCATCCTCACTAGGGTCGTGGGGGGTGCTGGAGCCTATCCCAGCTGTCATCGGGCAGTAGGCGGGGGACACCCCGAATTGGTTGCCAGCCAATCGCAGGGCACACAGAGACAAACAACCATGCATGCCCACACTCACACCTAGGGACAATTTAGAGTGTTCAATCAGCCTGCCATGCATGATTTTGGAATGTGGGAGGAAACCGGAGCACCCGGAGAAAACCCACGCAGGCCCAGGGAGAACATGCAAACTCCACACAGGGAGGCCGGAGCTGGAATTGAACCCGGTACCTCTGCACTGTGAAGTCGACGTGCTAACCACTGGACCACCGGGCCGCCCCCACTGATAGCAATGCACCAACAATAGCAGACTAAAGAGCTTCAGACCCATTTCACGCATCTCAACAATGGCCAAGGTAATGGAACGACATCTGACAAACCGTCTGAGGTATTTGGCCAAAAAGATGAACCTCCTTGACCAATGACAAGCGAGCGGATACAGGCTCGGCTTTCCTTCGACGGGGAAAAGACCAAGACGGTCATTTTAAAGCAAGACGTCCCGCAGGGGTCGGTACTCTGACCACTCCTGTTTCTCTTCTACATCAGTGATTTGGCCACCTTCATGGAAAGCCCACAGGTTAGTCTGACATTTACACCACTAATTGAATGTAGTGCATATACAGTAATCCCTTGTTTATCGCGGTTAATGGGGACCAAAACCACCCGCGATAAACGAAAATCCGCGAAGTAGCGTCCAATTAACATAAACAGGTAAAAAAAAAAAAAAAAG